GGGAGTATCCTGGACGCGAGGAGGCGAAGAAAGGTGATAGAAAACAGGTCCGGTCTCGCCTCGAGCGAGACGCAACTATTTCTGTGTTTTTCTCCGGAGATCCGACGCGCCGCTATCGCTATGCCATCTGCCTGACAAACCCGCGCCGTCCTCATGAATACGTCATATCTATTCTTTTGCCACCGGAGCCATAAACCTGGACCACATCCAGCCCTCCCCCGTCTGTTCCTCCGTCTCTTCCGTTTACTTTCTTTACCGATGCGGTCTCTCGTCGAGATCCCGAGTATTTCGAGGGACTCGATTCCGCTTCGAGACTCGAGTGCAAGTCCGCCTGAATTTTCATGAGAAATTTCAAATCGTCAAGTTTTGGTTTCAAGAAAATATACTTAAAAAAAAAATCTCGGCATTTTTTAATAACATTGACATTTATTAAAGAGAGTGTCTTACGTTGGGAAAGGCTTGTTTATTTAAGTAGAAAGATACTCGAGAGAAATGATAAACTGCTCATGATGACGAGATCGAAGAGAGGATTAGGAGAGAAGGGGAAGGGAGAGAGGAAGCTACGTAAAAACACTGAACGTACAATGCATATCTAAGCAGTTGGAGGCGAGAACGTGGATGCAGTGACGTTAGTATAAGAAGTTACATCGGCGCGGATTAAAACGGTCCGGCGATTTTGTTGCCGCGAGCGAGATCGGCGAAATCGCTTCATTTCCATCGAAATTAAGAGACGGTAACCTCGCGCGGCGCGCTCCCTTGGAAGTGGTCCACCGTCGCCGGGGAAGGAACAAATCTACATGAAACGCGCCGAATGATAAAAGAAGTTCGCGAGAGTACACGCGCGTTTTTATTCCGCCTCCGCAATCTAATTGAATGCAACGCAATCTAAACGGCGTCAATTTGCTGACCCTCCCTCCCCCTCCTTCCGCCCGAATGGCTTTAATGTCCCATGTACGGGGATGGAAAGAGAGAGGGGAGGACCGCCACCTGCTGCGGCGGATTTTCTGCGGTCTTTTAATGCCGCGATCTCGTCGGGATTCAGTTCGGTACAGAATGTTAGACGCAAATCTATCGGTGTAGAATGAGCTGCAGGTGTCGGAAAGTGTACTTGCGACAGGTACAGGATTGCTCGCAGGATATAAAGCCGTTGCACACGTGATCGTGCGATAGCATTGCAACGAAATACATCCAATTCCTCTTCCGTATAATTTCGTTCATTAAATAATAAAGTTGAAAATTATATTACACAAATTTTATTTTTTACACGTTACTTGTTATGGATAAAAAGGAAGTTCGAAAAACAGAAATTTCCATTTAATAAAATAATAAAAAGAAACCTGAGCTAATAATTTATACCTTTTTAATTATTTTATCAAGTAGAAATTAAATAATCCTTTGCATACTTCGAGTTAATAACTTGAATTATAATTTTAAATTAATAACGTGAGTTAAAAACTTGTGCTTTTTATTTTATTCAGAAGAAATTAAGTAATCTTTTGCATACTTTTTTTTAATTCGACAGAAATCGTATATTCCTCCGAAGCATAATTAAATTCGTATGCATATTACTTGGACCCGCACGACTAATGAAACGATTTATGGAAGCCGCTCGGAAGTTTATCTAGCTGCGACGCAGAGGAAGCGTCAAAGTATTCTCTTTTTAGCATAGTTAACAATCCTTTATTATAATCTATTGTGCGCGGCATTGTGTCGAGCAGCGAACGTGAACAGGCGCGGATGTTCATGAAAACACACGGGTTCCGGGCGTTTGTGAGAGACGCGCGAGAGAGGCAGGTATCTCCGACTAATCCTAGAAGGAGAGATGCCACTGCAGGTGTCAGTCCCGGCGCCGGCGCTTGTTCACGACGGACAACCGACCACCCTTTTCTCGAGCCCTACCCGCGCACACATTATAGCCCCCTAAGATCTTTACGCAAAAATTATGAGTCGGGAAGGACAATAAACCTGTTCGGAACACAGGGGAAAAAATGCGCTTTTTAGTACAACAGGCCCTCGAGAGAAGAATTGCGGTTATATACGATTTTCGAAGCGTTGGCATTTTATTCGGATAAAAAAATAATGCGCGAGATAGATTACGTTCAAGTGATCTCTAAGAGTGATAATTGTATAGATTCATGAAAAACCAATGAATATCCTATTTATATTATTCATGTATGCAATGTTTGTATGCAATGTTTTTTAAATCAGGACAACTTTTATGTTTCTCTTTTTTTCGATCATTATTTTCATAAAACTACCCCCTTTCTATATGTCGAGAGCATTGGAAAGTCGATGTACTGTTTGCTTGGTTAAATAACGATAAAAACACAAATTAGATTCACAAGCACTCGTAAACCGCGAATGAAATTCCGCTCATAGAATGGATTGACATTGCCTCTGGTTAAGAGAGGCGCGCGTCAAGTTGCAGTGAACGGAATTGATTCCGATGTACTTTTTATCAATAAAGAAAAATAAATGGATATTATGCACGCATACACGGGATAAAGGAAACGTGAAACGGCCCCGATGCTTCATAAATATTACATAAATATAAAGAAACACACGCACAAGTAAAACTGGCGCATGAGTATAAATCTCGAGTGTCATTAATTAATTATGTATCATTAATGAGCTGTTATCGTTTGCAATAAATTATTGCGCTACATTTTTTTAATTCCTTATTAAAATACGTTATTATCTCTTTATTGTGAAAAAAATTAGGGATCAGGATATTCTTATCTTAATATATTAAAATGATCGTAAAAATATTTTAACGTCTACGCATCTCAATTATTTATTCGAGCCAGACGTTCGAAACACAATGCCAAGAATAGAGCGTCGTTGGGGAAAATTGAATGAAATTAGCAATAATTAAAATTCTCCATCCGAGAAAGATCCCACGCTGCTCCTGGCCTATGGCCGTATCCGAGGAACACAATGGAGGAGCTCGGTGGCGGAGCCAGCCAGAAACACACCTGAACCATAGTCGGCGTTTTATTCATACGCGAGATTCCGTGAGGTGCCAACCGTTGCCGCGCACACCCCATCCACGGTCTTGATCTTCTCGCCTTGCCCCTTATCTGGGCTCTCCCCCTTCCCACGCTTCAGCGATCGCTTTTCTATTTGCCACCGTCTCCTCCCTCATCCGAATCATTCCGCGTAGATCCACCTGTTCTCTCCGCTTCGTCACGTGATGTGACATGTAATCAAGTCCAAGAACTTGAATCGTTTCGCGCGATTATATTCGATGCATTTAAGTAACATGTGCTTCTTGTGTGTTTTTTTTAAGTGTATAATTATTATCGATTAGTCTTAAATACCGGCGTATGATTCTATTTGGTTGATGCTAAAATGGAGTAGTATCTCGCGACACAAAAGAAAAATTAGCTTCATGTACGAGCGAGTCTTTTGTATACGCGATAAAAAAGCGCAGTCTATGTCTTAATTAGATTACAAATAATGCGTCTCGATGCCACGCTGATCGATTAATCGGGCATCGACTCTTTTTACGCTGGATCCGACTAAACGTGCCGCGCGAGCGTAACCAATCGAGAACATTTCGCTCGTTGAAATTGAATAGAGACGAGCGGCGCTTTAAAACCTGCAATCACCGGGGCATCTCCCAGTTCGACGTACACGTAATCAGTAATTACGTAGTAATCGGCTGGATACGCTGCTTACACAAGGGAGAAGGAGAGAGAGCGAGAGAGTGAGAGAGCGAGAAAGAGTCGGAGTCTCTAACCATCGCGGGAGATCCCGATCGACGAGTAATTCGCGGACGACGTCGCAACGAAATGTCAACGCACTCGACTCATACCTACCTACGGATCTTCTCCGTCCCGTATCCGTGTTGTCTCGCATACAATTGCCAGAATCGACGACGGCCGGATCGAGCGCGACGGTGGAACGAGAAAATAATTGGGCAGCATATAAAACACGATATCGTCGGCGCATCGGACGGGATGCGATGCAGCGCGCGGGGCGGCGAGGGGGGGGGTGCAGCGCGGTGCGGCGCGGGGCGCGGAGAGAGAGGGGGAGAGAGCGGCGCGGAGAAGCGCGCTAGAATATTCACGCTGAAACGCGCGGCATATAAAATCATAGAGACACGAGTGGCTCTCGCTATATAATAATGCATAAGGAGGCGGCCGCTTCTCCGGGACAGGCCACGCCTCGCATTCCCGCGCCGCCAGGTGGCGGGGGTATCCAGCATCCGCCGGAAGGGGGAATAAGACAGAGAGAAAGACGGATCGCGCGCGCGGGCAGGTAGGAGAATGAGGAGCGCGACAAGCGAAGCGAGGGGAAGCGAACGACGGAGGAGCGCCAAGAGCGAGGCGAAAGGATTCCTCTCGCGCCCCTTTCGAGGGCTCATTCGATCACGCTTCGCGGAGTATGTTTTATTTTTTTCTCTCTCTTCTTTGGAGGATCGGAGGATCTTCGTATCGTCGTCGCGACCATGATCGGGAGCGTCGCAAAACGCGCGATAAAGACAGAGAGAGAGAGAGAGAGAGAGAAGAAAAGGATTCGGATCTTACCTTTTTCTATCTTTCTCTACTCATTTAGGCAAGCCGTCGATAATTGAGCCCTTGGATACGCTCGTGAAAGCAACAGCGGGGGACTCGGATCCGTCCGTTAGTCTTTCGAAAGAACGCGCGCGGAAAAGGTGCACGAGCGTGCGACGTGCGGCCGGTGCGCGACAATAACGCGCGGAGGTCTCGACTTGTGCCGCTCGTTTACAAGGGTGGATCTCCGCCGCCGCGCGGCAGCGACGGCGACGGCGACGGGAGCGCGCGGCGGCGCGGAGAGAGGGGGGGATCGGTGATCGCGAAGGAGGTTGCGCGCGGAGAGAGAGTGGGGGCGCTGGCGACGCGGCGCGACAGGGAGGGGGGGATCGAGGAGAGCGGGCGGCGGACGGCGTGGCCGGGGGTGGGGAGGGAAGGGCAGAGCGCGCGCGGCGTCGCGTCGGTCGCAGTCGGTCGCGGAGTGCGCGGTCGGGTGGGGGCGGAAGCGCGCGCAGGGAGTATCTCTTCTCCTACCACGGCGTACGCGTCTCGCAGACGGCGGAGAGGGGCGTTTGGACGTCGGGCCCCCAGAGCTGGTCCGTCCGCCGTCCGGCCGACTCGAGGTATCGCAGAGCTGCGGATTTCGCGCGAGCGACAGACCCATAAACACGCACGCGTGTACACACATTCGCGCGAGCGCGCGCGTGCACATATACCCACACGTACACACGTATACGTACATATATACACCCCCGCACCGTATACGTAACACGCGTACCCTCGCGCGTCTCGCATATCACACGCACGTACACGCATACGTATACACCCGCACACGCACACGTATACGGTGAATCGGCGCACACGTGTATTATTGTATACGGGCAAACAGTGCACGGCAGACAGACACCGTTTCGCCGTCGTGTTACTGTGTAAATCGCGGTAGGACTCTGGCGCGCCTCGTACACATACGCCGAGTGTACTTACCTGCGTCGTGACGTGCGGGCAGCCGCGAATGCCGCCGGTCTCTCGCCGCCATACTGTCGCGAGTCGTCAAACGAGCCGACACCGTCGAGCGATAATCGAAACAGCGCGAGTACCGGGTGTGCAGTGGTGAGCGATCGCGATTTGTGCGCGAAAATTGTGACCAAGGACAGGAACACGAGACAACAACAACTGCTGCTTTCCTTCGAGCTGGGACAAAGGACAACCGTGGGACGTCGACAACAATCGATTCCCAAACTGTGACAAAGCCAACGACGCTCGTTTCGGAAACACAGTGTCTACGACATTACGACTTTTCAAACGGAAACATAGAAAGAGACAGGAGAGAGAGAGAGAGAGAGAGAGAGAGAAAAAAAAAATACGCGCGGACCACGTGCGAGTCTCGGCGAGTAAACGTCGACGGCTGAGAGTGAGAGAAACAGTCGGCGTCTCTCTCCGATAGTGCGCGGGACGACGGCTTCCATCTCGATTTCGTAGGTAAAGAGATCGCGCGGTGGGGGATGGGTTAGGGTACCGGAGCGAGCCTCTATGGATTACTGGCCGAGTTGACACGCTCACCGGCCGGCGGGCGAGAGTAACGTTCCTTTGGCGACGATCCACGTATGGAACGCATCGGGAAGCGCGAGAAGCGCTTCGCGCGGGGAGGGTGCGGCTCCTCTAGATAGTTAGTGTCGACGAGGAACGGTGGTTGTTGTGTTTTTTTCGACTTCGGACTGAGAGACAGAGAGAGAGAGAGAGCGAGAGAAAGAGAGAGACATGCAGTGCACCGCGATTCTCTCGACCTTGCGACGACGTCGTCCACAAGCGCCGTTGTATCGTCGACGACGTCTGGACTGACCGCGTTGTCCGCTTGCTTTCCTGTCACTTTCCCGTGGGAGAGGAGAAAAGGAAGCGAGGAGGAGGATCCACGAGGTCCGATCCGCGCGATCCCGACCGTCGGCGGACGACAACGCGACTGCTTCTTCTTCGTCGGAGCGCGAGGAGAGTGAACTGCGATTCAACCGCATCGGAGGGATGTCACGGAGAAAGCAGGCCCGACCGAGCCGTGCCCATCTCGAGGAGGATCTTGTCCAGGGGCCTCTGCTGATCAATCCCGTTGGAACTGTCACGACCGAAATCCGTAAGTCATCATTCCTTCGTTTCTTCCCGGAATAGCGTAGGGTATAAAAGGGGGATTATCTCTGTATCTCGCCCGGGATGTCACGCGTCCCGGATGCCTCGTGCTCGCGTGACCGCTTTCGAGTACAATTGTCAACGAGACGAGGGAAATGGTGCGAAAAGGAGTTTTACGTTCTGTCCAAATTTGCTACATTTCAACGACGCGTTCCTCGATCGAGACGAGCCCGAAAACCGAGGTGTATTAAATACACGTTCACGAGATACAGAGACGAGAATTTTCCGTTTTATACAAAAAGTGCCTTAAAAAGAAACACGAAATGTAATACGGTGGTGAGTGTGCGCGACATTAATCTCGACAGTTTTTTTACGTTCCTCTCACAAGTACGGAATAAAAGCGATAATGTACAACGAAATGAATTTCTAAAGATCGTAAAGATGACGCCGAGTCAAACGTTTATAGCGTGTAACGCCGTTTCAAACACGAAGTTACACCCGTCCTTCCTAGACCCGACCCGAGTTTTAGAGCGAGACGCATCGACCTAAAGTTACGCGATCTCGGTAGTTGCGCGATAAGGAAGCGCACTCCGGAGATGCGATAACGCTTTACGATATTGTCGGCGCGAGCGAGGAAAAACGGAAGCGCCCGATTTTATTTATCGGCGGTTTTGCGACGAAATCGACTTTGGGACGCGCAGGATGATAGTAACTTCCGTAAATTAACGCTCGTCGAGACGCGAGAACGAAATGCGAGATTAATCCGGACGCTTCCCCCCCTCCTTGGATTCGCCAAACGTACCGAAGTAGCCGATTCACGAGCACTTTCCGTCGGACCGAAAGCGCGCCTGTCGTCTCCGCCGAATCCACTTCGATAAACGGACCTGTCTCGGCGTAACATCAAAGCCCCGAGCCTAAGAAACGGCCGATAAAACGCTTCTGTCTCGCTGCCCGATCCTCCCCCCCCCTCCCTCGCGTCTCGCGGGACGATCGAGTTACGCGTACGAGAAGTTCCGGGACCTTATCTTAGCGAAGCTCGCTATGAATTCGATTGGCAAACTCAGTGATTTTTATACGTGTCAGGCTAATGTTACATTTGTCGGACGATAAATTTTTTAAGCACATTGATTGGTTGCGGGATAATATTTTTTTCAATCTTTAGAAATTTTCCATCCCGCAGCCAATCAATGTGCTTAGAAAATTTGTCGTACGACAAATGTAATATTGACCTTAGTTAGACAGGCATTTTCGCATCCAATTTTCTGCTAATCTTTAAATAATAAAATTGCACATGCTTGTCAGGGTATTTTAAATATTTATGAAGCGCGAGGTTTTTTTTTTCTTGGACTCTTGTTCGCGATACAATTTTTTGTGCGACTGTCGTATTTCGAGATCAATATTTTACAAATTTTTGCAATTTCTGTATAATGCTGTTCAAGAGCTCGTACACACACGTGAAAATTATTACGCGTAAATATACATGTTGTCCGAGATTTCCTTTTGTATGTATCGCGCACGAGCGATCGCCAAATGTAGAAAATTTAAGACGACGATTTCCATCTATAGGAGAATATATACTTTATCGAATACATTTACGTTCTCCACCCCCTCCCCTTCTCCTCCTCCTCCCCCTCTTCGCCCATTAAACATAACCAGAACTTGTCCGACCGCGGGAAGATAAGAACTCGTTACTATAAACTACTCGGTTTTACTGAATCCACGTACCTGACATTCGTGTGTGTATCCGCACACATCCCGCGTACGTGTACCGTTCGCAAGAGTCACGTCTAACGTTTAATGCTGGACACGCTTAGCCTCGCCGATATAAAAACGGATATTTCGTGGAGGAGCGCCATTTCGCGGAAAATATTTTTCGGAACGCGCGGGGCGCGTTATTCCCTCCCCCTCCCCCCTACGTAAGGAGAGTAAGGCCTCTACACGAGTCGTGAATCGTAAGCAAATTGACCGATCATGGTTGATTATTTTTGGAAATAATCGACTATGCTTGGTCAATTCGCTTACGACCTACGACTCGTAGAGGAGGCCTTAGAGAGAAGGAGAGGGGGGGGGAGGAGAAGGGGGAAGGATCTATCGGCGATCGCGCGTGAAGAATGAAATTTCAGCGAGGCCTCCCCCGCGTATCGGGAGGCGCCGCAAATAGGGATGCTCTTAATTTGGCCAACTTTTTCAATCGCAAGTTTCCGCGGCTTTCGCTCCCGTTGTTGTTACTCTCGGCGAATAGTTGGCGGAACATCTCGAAAACAACATAAAGCGCGCCTCATTCCTGAGCGCGTGTACGTGACAGGCCGGTTTCTTGCTGAGTCAGAAGCAAAATCGAAAATGTCTGCGGTTACCGCGGTAACGATTAGTCTAAGCGCGGGGCGAAGTTTGCCTAAATGCAATGCGATAATTATTATTTGCTCTTTGTGCTATTCCTCGTCCAGCGTGACTCGTCGAAATACATTTGCCGAATGTCGTAGTCTCTTTACTTTCGCGTCAGTGTATTTACTCGTCTATAATTCTAGATTACATAATGATAGATTTTTGGATTATGGATAATGATAAATCGAGCTGTTAACGCAAACATATGTACGACACTATGAACATCGAACGGAAATGTCGAAAATAAACTGCAAAACAATATTCGCTATTCATCATCTGTCAATTTCACCGATCGTCTTGTACAAGTTTTCTACATCATGTGAGGAAATAAAACTTTGACAGATAGATGTAAGAATCTACTTCGCAATTCAGGAATAATCTCACGATATGTCTCCCTCCTCGATTTCGATGAAACTCGATGAAAAGATACATATCTCTTTATAATAAAACAACATATTTATATATATTATACAAATAAACAGTTATTATTCTTCTCGTTACATTTGCAAATAAATTCTTATTTATTGCACATTCGTTAAGTGTAATCATAATAGAAGCAATGCAATGTTAATTGGATTTAATCTTTGTTACATTTTTTCAGACAAGATGTATAGGTAGCTATTATCAATAAGAATTAAAATTACGGTCGGTCAATGTTTGACGTTTGGCAACTGATTGTGAATTGCGCGATGTTACACACTAGTGGAATACAGACTTATTGTGTCTCGTAATCTAGTACAAAAAAAATTTTCTGATCGAGGAAATTAACCCTTCTTACGATCGGTCTTTCCGCTCAAAGAGACATAACGAACATCCATGAATTATATGTATGAACCGCAGTATTCACAAATCAATTTGCATTTCTTTCGCCGTTATCTTAATGTTATACATACCACGAAAATATGAGCGACGAGTCGCCGTATCAAGAGGCCGTTGTATTATAGAGATAAAGCGATTAATATATTGAAACAAAATTATAACGAGCGCGAAAGTATTCGTATGGATTAATTTCGACGAAAACTTTGTTTTTAATTTTGTTTATCGATAAAACAAATGTATTGTACAGGTATTTTTCAAAGAAAAAATTTCTAGGGAATAAAAATAAATTCAACGCACAAGAATACGATACATAAATATTCGCATCTCAAGAAAATAAAAATAAAAATCCGAAATTTTATAAAAATAGATGTGCAATACATATATTTATTCGCGCGTAATTTTTTATTTTAATAAGTGAGATATCGAGAAAGACAATATCGAGAACCATTTAATTTTTATTTAAAAATCGTCAAAATATATTTCGATGGCGCTCATATAAAATAAAATTGAACGTTATTAATTATTATCGTTGCAAGGAGCTACGACGACGTCTTTATGTGTAAGCGAGGAAAAAATGAGATTATATTAGAAGTAATACTTTATCGCGGAGTAACGTATGGTAGAAAAGGCGGAGGATATTTTCGGTCGTAAGTCACAATCGTTTGAAAATTGGACGAAGCTTAAGGATACTGGAACAGCGCCAAGACTCGCATTGAGGTAGGATTATACATCATACATCGACGTATGAAAAAATCGCGGATTATCGCAAGTGTTATACACCCTTGACACCGGATGACGAGTGTCACTCAGAAGGTTTCGGCGGGCACCTCGCGTCTTCTCGTCCCGTCAAGAGCGCGTATAGAGAATTTTGAAGGCCGTTTCCCTGTTTGAGTGATCGGTGAACAGTGGAACATAGCTGATGCGAAGGAGTTGACAGACGAATAGAGAGAAGCCCCGTCGTGTGTGTCCGTCGTCGTGGACGGGAAGTTGTCTGCCGCGTCGGACGGCGGCTAATGTGTGACAAGCGACTAAGAACCGTCCGACTTGCACCGACTGCATATTAATAGATCCTAATATGCGCGGCCGCGCGCATCGCGACTCTCAGGCCCGACGTCATTATGTCAGATCTCTTGCCCCTTCCCGCGATTTGTTCCTCTGAAACTTGAAGCTCGCGAAAGGCGTTCAAGATTCTCGATGACGATTCGATATCCACTGAATGAATCATCCCTCCAAAACGTTCGATAAGACGGAACGCTTCTCCCGCGACGTGGTGGATTTATCGTCTTCGGGACAACAGCCACTTGTAGTTTGTCACGCGAATATTACTCGCGAATATTACGCGTCTGCGTCTCGTGATCCGCGTATAGATTTGACAAATAGCAGCGAGTGTCTCTTTAGGGGCGTCCTCCGCGCCGTCGGTTAATTATGTCACATGTTACAGGAATGCTTCTCTTGTCATAATTCGCCATTGTACTTTTTTGCGAAGATGGATGCAAATATATTCCTGGACAAAATTAACGCATATTTTTTTTTTCATTTTTTCTTTAAAATTTTTCGTTAAAATTTAATTTAATTTAAATTGATAAAGATCAGCTTTTAAAGAAAAAGTGAAAAAAAATTATGCATTAATTTAGTCCAGGAGTATATTTATGCAAGTATCGAATTTGTGTTGTTTGAAAAGTTGATTTATTTGAAATGGAATGTTCGTATATTATTTGACTATTTCTTGTTATTGTTTAACATGTATATCTTTAACTTAGTATGCAGATGCATGACGCGGTACAAGGGACATATCTATATCATGAT